TATTCAAGGTGGTGAAACAAGGAAGTATACATCGACTATCCCAAGAATAGCATTTGCTCAACTATATCACATGATCGACATTCTTGCAATCTTGGCATGATTAGTTCAGTAGGAATGATTCTTCAAGCCTTTCAAGATTGAACTTTTTATTAGGCTTACGTTTCGGCTTCTTCGCCTTCGTCAGAGCCTGAAATGGTCAAAAGCATATGTAACTTGCTCGCTCTCAAAGCCTCAATAAAGAATCCAAGACTCTTTCACAGGATTAGCAAACTTTCAAAGGTATCTATGGAAGCATGGGGCTGCTTGCCTTGAACTTCGCCGCTAAGGAAGGAGGGCGACCACCCTCGTACTGACTTGAGTATTCAATCTTTGACAAGCTGAAGAGGCCTTCCTACCGGACTAATAGGCGTCAATCGCCTTTTCTGGATTTTATCTTATTTTTCCATGAGTTTCCGCTTTTCAATATCCATGTTCTCAGTTTTCCTCAGGAACTGAGTTCCCTTGCTGATCATTGCTTAGTTTTTCTTGCAGCCTAAATGTTGCAATAACATCTTCTCTGGTTGCGACTTCCGGCCAACTGCTCGGTTTTTTTTCAGATTTTTGACGCAAACTCGATCGCCCTCTGTTCAATCTTTGTTATTTATAGACATTTTCCACAGTGTTTTATTCTTTCTAACGTCACCACGACTCCTCTTTGGAAGTATCCGTGGATTATAATTCTGGCAAAAGGAGTTCAGGCGATTTCAAAGTCATTCAGTTTATCTATCACGAAGTGTCTGAGGTGGAGACCTGAACGAAGGGTCAACCATCTGTTGCTTGAAGTTCATGTGGGGAGCGAAAGGGTGTGGGGGGACAACCTGTATTGCGTTTTGTCATAAGCATACAGTGTGGGAAGCATGATAAGGGCCACAGAGATGCTTTCCTCACGAAGGAGAGTCATCGATTTAGGGTGGGGGGGGGGGGTAAGAGGAGCCGTCGTGCCCGACTCCACGTTCGATGCAACGGCATGTCGTGAGCTGCCTGGGTCGGCGATGCTCTAAAATTGCTTTCTCTCTCTTTCCATGTTGAAGTGATGTTCAAGGTGAATGTTTGTACTATGACAGTCGCTACTGAAAGCAAGTTTCGGTTGCAGATCCTCAATGGCTGCAGAATTTCGTATATCTGCGCAGTCAGTGTAGACTTAGAGCGGAAGTGAAGTAATGACAAGTGGCACGGCTTGACACACTCTCGGTGCTGAGATCGAATAGGACATTGTTCGGGTCGACTAGGCCTCGTATTTTGTGCGCCAATGTGTAGGGTTAATCGCATTGAAACGCTGCTGCGATTTTGGATGGGAGTAGAGTACGTGGCGCATTTCAAACCGACTGAATCACGCTGGCGCTTCACGACTTACGATTTCTACGACGTCGCAATTTATTTAACAGATCAGTCAACGAATGTCAAGCCGTCTTTGGTGAATCACCCAGCTCGAATCTCAAGCTCGCTGACTCATGCTAGGATCCATACATTTATAAAGGCTGCAGTGTCATGAATACAGCACAACAAAAACCCTGAAATATGCCACATGTCAGCTTGCTATCGGGTTTCTCTTTTCAACTGTCAACAAGCATTAACCCTCGATCCACACCGAATTTTCTCAAAGGCGGAGTTTACGACGAAAAGGCAACCCATTGAAAATCAAGGTAGAGGTGAGCGTAGTGCAGGGATGAAAAAAAATACCATGAGGAACGGCTAACTGAAGAAATCACCCCTTCTATGCCCGCTGATTTTCGCACTGATCGCCTCTGCCTGGTGCCTTTCGCATCTCTCGTCGGTGCGTTCCCTCTCAATGCTCACGGCTCTCTCTGCAGCTAGAGACCGACTCGCCAGTGTCGCCAGGTTTAGTAATCGTATCGCGCCGACGGTGATGCGGGGAGGGTTATGTTGGGTCACTGAGGCATATCCCTAGCTGCGAACCGCGTGTCGTTCTTCACCTTTAGAGAGTCTGCCTGTCTTTCCACTAGTAACTTTCTTCTTCTCGACATTCGACCTTATCGTTGAACACTCCTTTGAGCTGCTAAGAGCAATATTTCATCAGAAGCTCCGATAGGATGTGCGCCTTCCCGTTTTCAGTGGCCTAATACTGATGTGAACTCAGAAATGAAGGTTACATGGAGGTTTCCACCAGGATCGTACTATTTCATGAACGGTGACAAGTTGGGGAACAAGAAAGTCATTTATTCCTATGAATGTGCCATGTACTAGACTTTAAACTGAAGTAGTGTCAGCAGAAACGAGTTCACATGATGACAAAACATCACGTTGTAATTTTCCATGTCCACTCTCCGCTTCTGTCCATTCAACGACTTGCAGAGTATGCTCCAGAGTATTGCAGAGTACCCTCTCTGACGGTTTAATTGACGGCTCTACTAAACCAAGAGTACCGTCCTAGGGGCTAAGGGGCCAGGATTGAATCCAAGCAAGAATCAAGTCAACGAACCGCCTAATGGCAGCGTGCCCATTCCCTCTCATGCACGAGTCATTCCTTACAGGATGACAGGTAACACATGGAACTACCTCCTTGCCACACCTCCTTTAGTTTTTCATTTCCCAATAAGGTGGTCATTTTTCCAGTTCCACTAGTCGATGACGCTTAGAGAAGAACTTATGCGACATTGAAAAACTCTCCATGAATTTTGCAACGGTCAGGTTCCACTCTTTTTGAACCACATTTCTCTAACTTTTACCGCAATTATTAAAATTCGTATGGAACTTCGGTCACCAGCAGCATCGAGTTTGTCTAGCAGAAGCGCGTCACGGGCTGTGAAAAGTGAAGTTCCACTTTCCTGAGCGCATATTATGACCGGTCAGATCATAGTACACTCTACCATTTGGCAGACTTTTTGACGAGTGTGACAGCGATGCAACGAACGTTCAACACTTTCCTAGCGGCTTTCAATCATTTTAACGCCACCACCTCTTTCATTCAGCAACGCTGGCGTCAATGGGGTGGGCATAGGGTGAAAAAAGGGCATTTGTCAGGTTAAATACCCCACCGACTCTAAGCAGTTCTTGCTCCATTAAGGTTGCATTTCGCTGTCGTTAATGCCTTAACTGCATGAAGTGGAAGCCGTCCCCAATAGTGAACTGAGATGGGTATGGTAGGATAGCCTACATCATGTACCATGTGCTACTACAGTCCCTCCCTGTCCACGACATCTCCAACGTGGCAGATTTTTTCAGCGGCTGACGCAAGCTTGAATCTATACTGCCAATGAATTCCATCGTTTACAAATGAGAGGCAAAATAGAGACAATATCAAAAGAGAGGGCAGACTATCGCCAACATGAGGAGCTTCGTTGTAAGCAATGCATCAAGATCCCCGGCATATAACTTTCTTTATGTTAAAAACAGAACTAAGCCTCAGGCAAGAGAGGAGAGACCCCAGGGTGCGTGAGCAGTTTTCCATTTTTCCGGCGTCCGTGCTCCTCCTAGGTGTAGTCTTTGGTTAGAGGATGCTCCCCACCTTGCGATAGAGCCAAAAAAAATGATTGACATGTTTTGTTGGCCTTCAAAAGAAGAACCAAGCCAACTTGAAACCAGATTCTTGTTGAAATGCTCTTTATCTTTAGAGGGATTTTGTTTACCGTGTTCTTATTTTTTGCCTCACGTGTGCACCCCATCTTTTTGAATAGTCACATCGGTGCATCACGCAACTTTGAAATTAGCTCGCTTTTTTCGCTTCTAAAATTAACTGGGTCATGAGGCTATTCATAATAAAAGGATAAGTCAAGCATCAGCGCGTCAAACTTCGCGCTATGCTTGAGGAAGTGTCTCGATGCCTTCCGCCGTAGCGTGCGCGTACGGTAAAAATTCTATGCTCATCGAAAATTTCCATATTTACTATTATGTTATGATTACTATTATTTCGTACTTTTGTGCTTTTCAAACGCCTAAGTGTATGGAAAAATTTTTGAGGCTTAGCTAGGTTATCTATAAGGAAGTTTGTTGTGCTGTTGCTTCTTTCTGATGGTTGGCCTTTGATGGTGAACTGATAGAAGGCTTCCGTCACATTGATGCTTGCATTCTTTCCACCTCCTGATTTCGGTTCCCTTCAATTGATTATTTTGTCCTTGATAAGTGATGCAGGACTGTTGAACAATCGCCGACTCAAACACCTTTTGACCTTCAACGATCTTTGCTAACAAGTTTTCGGCGTCGATTTCTGAGTGAAAGTTACACGCATTTGGCGGCACTCACACCATTCGCTATGCGGATGGGAAAGTGATGGGCCGTATATGGTTGCTACCCATTTGCTATCGGATGGAAGTGATGCCATATTTGCTAACTCCAAATGTTTAGCATTTGATTACATCGTCCTCTTGTTACTATCCTTTTCCATTGGATTGCGCCATGACTCAGTTTTTTAGTGGCTATCGCGGATGAGATTGGAAGGGCACGTTCCGAACAATGACTTTCGCTTCTTCGCTTTTATCTCCTAGTCCAAATCAATCATTTCGAAAAGGACAGAGAGCCTATTAGTGCAGCTTCAGTACTAGTTAGCAAACGAACCTGGTTATGTCTTCACTCCCCCAATCCACTCCATCACCTATCCATCATCACTACATCTACTGTACTTTGTAGGCTTTCAATCATACCTACTTACTATTCGTTGCGCCCTTTTGGCGAGCACCCACTCCATTTGGCGCTGGCTGATCTCTGCGCTTTGTCGTCGACTGTATCACAACATAATATTTTCAGTACGAGTGCATATGCTAACATCACACGCATAGTGAGTGCGATTCGCTGTTCTCACGCTTACCCCAGGCCACGCCCCTTGGCGACGGCCAGGTCCGTGCGATCCCAGGGGCGCCCTGGCTGGTATCGTGTGAACGCCACGCCCATTGCTCGCGTTGTCGTCTCACCCGTTCTACGAGACACCGCCCATCGTTCGGGCCACCCCATACACACACGCACAATCATATCATCTCGGTTACAGAGTAACACGCTGGCTCCACATTATGACACTGCCGGTGTTCGCGAAGAAAGTGAAAAAGTTGGCCTCGTTCCAACTATTCAATCTGAAACTTCTCCTTAACGGCGAATCAAGTGAGTTTCACCAGCTCGTTCAACTCTTTTGATCTATCACTTTTAAAGCTTTCCATCTTCTTCACCTTTTTCACTTTCCTTTCCTCCTTTACTTTTTCACTTTCCTTTCTAGAGGGATAGATAACCCTTTCACTGACCCTCATTTATCCTTTGCCGTGGTACAAGGTTGTGGTCTTGTACCACGGCAAAGGATAAATGAGGGTCAGTGAAAGGGTTATCTATCCCTCTTTAAACTGTACTAACCTTAGGGCTGTACTTTTTAAAACATGCAGGACCTACTCGGTAGTTTTACCAGTTGAAAAATCGTGAGGTTTAGGTCGCGGTTTCAACAAATTCAAAAAGCACTACAAACTCAAAGGTGAACTTGGTCGTGGCGGATTCGGTATCGTCTACCGAGCGATTCGCGTTGCAGACGAGCTTCCAGTGGCTGTGAAATTTATCGATCGCCGAACAGTCCGTGAATGGGGAAAGGTACGGGAAAACTACCCCTATAGGTTTTTTAACCTCTAACCGCGTTTTTATTCCAGATTAATGACGAACATCTGCCTATGGAAATCTGCATGTTGGCAAAGTGCTCAAAAATTCGAGGTTAGTGTTACACAAAGGTCACCGAAAACTCGTCCTTTGCACTGAACAAAGGCATATTTGGGTTTTTACGCGGCTACGGCATATAATGGCAAGCAGAACGAGTTACAGGCTTGCGTAAATGGCGAGTTTTTTCTCGGAAAATTTCCCGTTTCAGAGGGAGAAACTATTATTTCGTTAATGGGGCCCTATTTTTTGCCTTTATTCGTCTACACTTTCTGCTTCTGCTTCTCCATTTTTAGCTGCATTTACGTCCTCTGCCTCTCTGCCTCCTTTAAGTCCAGTTTCCTGAACTTTTGGCTTCATTCCAAAACTCATCCTGTTTTTTTGGATGTGAGAAATAATAGTATCGGAAAGCTTTTTGTAAAATTCATTATATTTTCTATTTATACTTGAAATCTTTGATTGGGCACTCCAAATCCTCTCAAAGACCGAATTCACGCTTAGTTTCCTTTTATAACGCACTCAACCTTTTACTGTATTCTCATGGTGTTGGGGGATGAAATATAAGCAGTCATGTTCGTCCATCCTTTCTGGATACGCCACTCATTCTACCTCATTTTGGAATTGCAGAAGCATTTGAATGTGGCTTGGCATTTACCGGGTCCCACGGAGGTCGGCCTACATACTGTCTGTATCTTCGCATTCCCATGCAGTCAGTGTTCTCAATGAGTCAGCCCCGAAGGCATGAAAGGTTTGATGCTGGATTCCAAGCGACCCACGGCATTTCACCCACGAACCCTCCATGCCAGTCCCCATAGGCTGGCGCCGCATAGCGCTACACAACCTCGCGCGCCGTCGCTCTCATCGTGCTTACCGTCAGAATGAATTTTTTTTTCGAGGTGCAATCATCGAAAGGAGTGATCCAGTCAGGCTACTAAGAACCCCTGTATGATCAGATTCGCGCTGAAATCGTCCCCTTTCAATACTCTATGCCCAATTTCTGTTCTATTATATGGATCTTACTTATTTACCAGTTCTCTTCTTTTCAACATAGGAGCTATGTTTTCATTGACCTGTAGCCTTTGCATTCCTGTCAAAATAACTAAATAAATAACTTTCTTAAAAATAGGTGTGTTCTTCATCAATAATTTGTTTATAGCCTATGTATACTACGTCTATTATTTATTTGTTTTCGAGAATTATTATTATGACGCACGTTTCTCCATAAACTTTACTTTAATTCATATTATAAATAATATTAACTACTCGCACTTTGATCCAGACCACTTAGCCTACTTTTATAAACTATAAGAACCGCATATTTAAGAGAGTTTGATGAATAGCAGACCTTTTAAATATCCTACCAATCGCTTCTGTTCCATCTTGATAGCCCCGTTGGCGCTGGTAAACGAGGTGGAAAGGGAGAAAAATGAAACAGTATAGGAGGAGGGAAAATTCGGATTATTTACTTGTAAACATTATATAGTGATAGTCGCAGGAATCTGTTTACAATCTCTTATCGTGAGCTTCTTCGATAAATAAACAAATCATGGACGTAGATAGCGCACTGGTTAAAGTGCGCCGTACTTCCACAGATTCAATCCCGCCTACTCAAGCCTGCGATAACATTGGGGTGTCGCTACACATAGTGCTTTGCTTCGATGGTTCCTTTTGAATACTGAGAAATATGCTGACATTACTATATTTAATGGTATGGATACAACCTATAAAAATCCTGAGATGAAATAATATTATATGTTCTGGTACATTATAAATAATGAATGATAAAATTTATTACTACCCTGTTATAAATAATGAATGAAAGAATTCATTACTGCTCTGTCCCGGTGTCTTAAACTGATATAAATGTGTAAGGAAAATGATGTGTGGCTCCAAAATAATATTTATTGCGAAGACTTTCAAATTTGGCGATAATCAATAATTCAAATATGATAGATAAGATAATATAAGATATCGCAAATAATATATAATCATGAAAATGATTTAAATGACTCCGTCAAATGATTGAATAGGAATTTCTGTGGGGAATCAATAATATATGGATACCACAAGATAAGAAACGCTATCGCTGGTAATGACAATGAAAAATGACTTAAGTGGCTCCATAAAATGATGAATTCTTAGGAGATGCATAATTGAACGGGAGCAGCCAACCGTAGTCACTTTCTTAGTCCTTCAAGCTTAAATCACCCTTTAGCTCTCATGGGCCTTAAGACTTTTTACATCACTAGGTATCCAGTCTCACATGACCAGCGGCTAGCTGATTGATGGCCAGTCAGTACACCGTTTTTTGCTCTTGTAACGTGGTCACTCAGCTCCACTCTGCCTCAGGTTATCCGGCACATGACCATTTCAGGGGTTCTATGGGTTGTACTGTGGGTAGGACTAGCCACGGCCACGTTGGCCTTGACAGCGCTACAACTAAACCCATAGTTGAAGCCGATGTCTTTTCAAGAACGTCCTCCACTAGAGCAGAACGTCATAGCGCTATACATGACTTCGAGGTAGTGTTGTTTTCAGACAGTACTACTTATTTTCCTATTTTAGTCTAAGAGATAACTACTTCTCGGTAATCTCTTATCAATTACACTGAACAAAGCGTCAAGCTTATATGATAACATCCATTTACAGCGAACACAAACAAAAAGAATACCTAGGAAATACTGATATAATTATATACATTTACCTTCGAAAATCAAAACTTACAGCTAAACAGCGACCAGTGAACTTTTCCACTGAGTGCGAATCACATTTTTAGTCGAACAATGAACAGCTAAATGGGGTTTATTTCTATGAAAAACTGTTATCTTAGCCATTTTCGCTGAATTTTTAGCAACTTTGAATGAGATGAAAGCTCATAATATATTTGACAAAATTACAGGAGTGATTCGCCTCCTTGACTGGTACAGTATCCCGGAAGGATACCTGATTGTCATGGAACGACCGTATCCATGTGTCGATATGTTCGATTTCATCAAAGGGCAACAGAAACTCGACGAAGAGGTACTGTGCTCTTTGTTGGGGGAATTACCTTTGTTATGACTTAACTAGCAAAACCTTACCAATTGCCGCCGACCCACGGAAAGATAATGGCGCGATCGTATGAGCGCTTGCCATAGAGTGCAACCAGTTCTCAACCTTATCTTTATAGTCACTTCCCGGTTCATTTATCTATCCCATTTCGCAGCAATTGAGAAATGGATTTGAAAAAATAGAACTGGCAGCCCTCACGTGCCTTAATAGGAAACAGCTTCACAATTAGCCTACTCCAGGAGTGCTGGGTTGCTTAACCCTATCAGTGATCTATCAGGGCAAGCGGCACTATTCCTGCCCGGATACGGAAATACCTTTCCTTGCTCGCATCCCTACCTATTCTCACAAATTCAAATCATTACTTCTCTATGTCCCAGAACTACCTCAAAACTCCTTATGAAGAATTCGCTACTCTAGTGAATCGGAAGACTGAGGCGGGATAAGCCCAGTACACAAGCAGAATGCCCCTTATTTCAGCTCCAGGCACATGATCAGCACGAGCCCCACCTTCCACATCGGCTTAATCAACCTTGATCTGAATAGCCAGTGTTAGGGGCTGGGCCAGAATGGGCGCCGTGATGCAGTGGCAAATATGTAGCTTCACTTCCCACGCGCACAGTCCAATCTCGCCCAGCCCAATCAAGCATCCATCCCTCTGGAGCTGCTCAAATGGTTCTAGACTAGACTTTTCTGGGAGTATGCAAACACTGACTTGAACATCGGCTGCTCCCCCCTCCCCCTCCCCTCCATTGAATAGGAGATGCCGCATTAAATACTGCTACGATACTGAATGGGAGGGTAGTGCGTACTTCGGCTCTGCAATGGTTTGGTCAAAGCTCGAAGCTTCAACCCTCCAACCTACCTGCAAAGGCCAACACGCTATTGTAGGCGTTTCGGAAGGGGTAGACTAACAGTCAGAATCAGATGGCCTTTTCAGCGAAGGTGAAGACCATAAAGGCTCAATTGTTTCAATGGTATTAAGCTTAGAACATTTCAAATATTTGGTAGCAGTATTCAACAAAAACCTGAAACTTTTCAGATGGCTCGTTTCCTATTCCGTCAAATCGCTCAAACCATTCACGAATGCTCACAAAAACGGGTCCTGCATCGGGATTTAAAGGTGAATTCTTCAAACTTACGGTATATATCGCATAATATGCTGCTGCTTCATTTGAAGTGATATAATCACGTAGTTGAAATCGCTTCTTAATATTCCTGAGTACACTGAAAAACGAAAACAATGACGATCTGCTTTAAAATTTCCCGTTTCAAGTGTCTCCCAGGTAGCCAAAATTTTGCCCGGATAGACTGGGGAATAAGTTTTCCATGCGGAAATCACTGCTATGGGTAAGCGTCTACCGTGCAGATTCACACCATTGATCACTGAGCACAGAGATTAGTTGGAGACCATCCCTACATGACATTTCACCGGGGTCCTCTCATCCTGCGGCATTTCAATCTGTGCTC